AAAATCAAACGAATATTCATATTTGACCTGATTGTTTATAGTTCATAATGCATGATCAAAACCGAAAGTTTCTGTGATGACTGCCCTTGCACTGTTCACCATGTAAGAACTTATTCACTATGTAAGAATTTGTTCACCATGTAAGAACTTGTTCATTATGCTTCAGAAGATTGGAGACTGTTGAGAATTAGGCTTGGGGTTGATTAATGATTGTGCATTGAGTCCCCTATACAGAATTTTATTGTTGTTAAAAACCATTTGATCAATAAATATGAGAGATGCTCTCTCAAAAAATAAAAATAAAAATAAATTTTAAAAAAAGTTAATGGTCCAACAAGTAATGACTATAGGATCATACTATGCTGATAGACAGTGACCACAATAGAGGGGATGAGGACTTGATAATATGGGTGAATGTTGAAACCACAGTATTTATGTGAAGCCATCCTAAGATTGTATATCAATGATACTTTAATAAAACAAATATTCCTCATGAAAAACAAAGTTAGTGGTCTAAATATACCAATAAAAAGTTGAGTTTTCAGAATAGATAAAAAAAAAACTGTCAAGAGAATGAGGAGACAAGCCACAAACTGGGAGAAAATATTTACAAAAGATAAACCTGATAAAGGACTGTTATCTAAAATATACAAAGAACTCTTAGAGCTCAACAATAAGAAAATAAACAACCTGCTTAAAAAGTGGGCCAAAGACCTGGATAGCTCACCAAAAAAGATATACAGATGGAAAATAAACATATGGAAAGATTCTCAACATCATATGTCATTAGGAAATTGCAAATTAAAGCAGTGATGAAATACACCTAAACACTTACAGAATGGCCAAAATTCAAAACACTAACTGCAACAAATGCTGACAATGATATGAAGCAATGAGAACTCTTGTTCACTGCTGGTGAGGCTGTAAAAGGGTACAGCCACTTTTGACAACAGTTTGCTAGTTTCTTACAAAACTAAACATCTTTTTCTATGCAATCCAGCAGTTGTGTTCCTTGGTATTTACCCAAAGGAACTGAAATTTTATGCCCACACAAAACCCTTGTATGGATGTTATAGCAGTTTTATTCATAATTGACAAAACGTGGGAACAACCAAGATATCTTCCCATAGGTAAATGGATAAATAAAAATTGATACATCCAAACAATGGACTATTTATTCAGCACTAAAAAGAAAGGACATATCAAACCATGGAAAGACAGGGAGGGACCTTAAGTGCATTTTACCTAAGTGAAAGAAGCCAATCTGAAAAGGCTAAATGGTGTATGATTCCAGCTATACAACCGCCTGAAAAAGGCAAAGCTATGGAGACCATTTTATGGAGGCAAAGTAAAGACCAGTTGTTGTCAGGGCTTAAGTAGAAGGGAGGAATGAATAGGTGGAGCACAGAGGATATTAAGGGCAGTGAAACTGTTCTATGTGATACTGTAATGGTAAGTACATGTCATTATACATTTGTGCAAACCCATAGAATGTACACCACCAACAGTGAATGAACCCTGATGTAAACTATGGACTTGGGATGATAATAATGTATCATGTAGGGTCATCCATTGTAACAAATGTACAGCACTAGGGAGGGATTTTGTTAGGAGGGAGGCTGTGTATGTGCAGGGAGTATAGGGTATGTGTACTCTATACTTACCACTCAGTTTTACTACTATTTTGAAAAAAGTCTACATAAATAAATAAGTTGTTAAAAACCCTTCCACTGCTGATTGAATACATAGATATATATCCCTTTCCCTTTTTTTTGCAAGGTTAAGGTGGGACAGTTTGAGGCTTAGTTAATTCCTTATTCTGAAAACAACTGAAACATGCCTTTGACACTTTTGCTTTCATATTTATGTAATATATTTCAATAGATTTTATTTCAAGAAAATAAAATTTGTATTTCACTTCTATATAGATGAAATACAATAAAAATCAAGATGACTGCTCAATTTCCACACTGAGGAATCAAATAACTGATGTAAAAAATATCATGACCCAAAATATTGATAAAATTTCAGAAAGCGAAGAAAGATTGAATATCTTCACTAACAGAGCAGATGATCCCCAAACAACTGTAAGTGATGCACACCTGTTTTGATATTCAAACAATGTGCTAAACCATAGGATTACTGCCCTTGAAACAAACTGCCAAAAGCAAGACATACTAGCGATACTGTGAGTGTCCTATGTCACTAAATTATGGTTTTGTCAAAATATTGGAATGCAGCTAAGCTGTTTTTTAAGTCATAGAGTATTCTTTTAAAATAAAAGTATAAACATTATCTATAGCCCTCTTAAAACCTTTGTCCACACAGAGTAGTGTCCAACCTCTCTAACATAATTAGCTTTCTTCTGACCATATTTCCAGTCATATCACCCAGTCACAGTCCCATAATTTATAAATCTCAAAAAATACCAAACTATTTGTAGTTCTCCAAAATACACATCACATTATTTCACACCTTTATACATGCTGTTCCCTCTCTTTTTCCTTGCCTCAAAATACTCATCCATCAAAACCCAACTCATTGCCCAGAGTTACCACTCTCTCATCTCTGCCATTTCTGCACCTTTAATTTACTGGTTCTTTCAACAAATATCTCTTTAGGATCTACTGTCCGCCAGGCTCTATATGAGGCAATAAGAATATAATGATGAATATTATAACCACAACCCCAGCAAACACTCAATGTTAGTTAAATTAAATGCTGTTTATTTGAACAAAGCAACCCTCTACATTATTTTTATAGCAGGAAAAAGATAAGGTCACATCAGTTTATATCTGCACAGGGTAATTATGAAGTAAATCATTATCCTGGATTGCAGCTGAACTTTATGAGAGACAGAACACAAGAGCACAGATAATACTGTTCAAGTCATTTAGATTCATTCAGTATTCATTAATAAGCATTCTTTGAGGTTCTTTTGTGTATAAGCTATTATGCTGGTCATTTTCAGGCATACAAGAATAAAATATGATACTTGACACAGTTTAATATACTGCAGAAGACATTTGTATAAACCTAAGTATAAAGTATGAATTAAGTGTCATAATACATGGATAAAGCATAACAGCCAAACAGTGGAAAGCTGATAGTATCTACCTTCTTCCAAAGCATTTCGAAATTACAGTCATGAAATTCCATAATCCACAGTACCTTACTCTGTTATATTGGGAACTATGTATGATATTTAAATATTGTGTGTCTCAGATGCCATAGTTAAGAATCCTGAGAAAAACTAACTATTTTATTATGAAATATTTATTTCAAGCATATGAAAAAGTTTTGAGAATAATATATCTAACACCCTTGTAATCATCAGACTGCTTTATCTGGCCTTAATATTTTGCCACATTTGATTTGGGCCTTTGTTTTTTAAAGAAAGAAAATACACAAATATATATATTTACAAATATAAGGAAATATTATAAATCAATAAATAAAAGTATATTATAAACCTATATATAAGGAAATAATTATATGAATATAATTAAAGTCCTCTGTGTACCTTTCCCAAGCTCAATCCACACCCTCACCAGAAGAACCACCATTGTAGATGTGAATCATTTGCATGCATGTTTGATTCCACTTCTGTATATGTATAGCTATATATATATATATATAATTGGTTTACATTTTTTAACTTTGTATTTATGACATTATAAAATACATATCCTTCTGTAACCTGAGTTTTTAGTTCAACATATGCTTCTGAAATGTATTCATTCTGATATACTTAGCTCTAATTTATCAATTTAACTTCCGACAGCATATCATTACCATTTAAAAAAACAGTGTACTTTAGCCCTTATCCTTTTAATAAACATTAATGTAGATTCAAACTTTTCTTTATTACTAACAACACTGCATTGAACACCTTTCTACATGTCTCTTGGTACACTTTTTTTTATTGAAGTATAGTTCATATACAGTATTGGTTTCAGGTATACAACATAGTGATTTGACAATTATATACATTACAAAGTGCTCACCATAGATGTAGTAACCATCTATCACCATAGAAAATTACTATAATATTGACTATTATTTTGGTATGCTTTTGCAAAAATGTTTCTAAGACAGTGGTCTATAGTTTTTTTCAGCATACTTATAAAAAATTCTTGAGGATGGGTTTAAATATGTATGCAAATTATATTCTATAATATATATTATTAAACATAGAAAGCTATAAATTAAAATAAAGATGAAACAAAATGTTAAGTAACTTGTTTTCTTAACACAAAACTAATTCTGAGAAAAATATTAATAGTAATGTATTTGAGTAATTGTTATTAAGTGAGATCTAATTACAAATCATTTTTCTTAATATCTAAATACAGTTGATGAAATACTCAAACTAGAAGCAGAGACATATCCTTTGCCTTTTTCTTGTTTATATTTGCCTCATTAGTTCAGTGTTTAGGCCACGTGTCTTTTTAGTTTAGTTAAAACTAATATTACCCATAAACACCTTAACTTTCATAATATACCATTTTACATACACACACCTAGAGAAGGTGTCAATGCCCATTCAAAAGTTCAACATTAATACATCTCCATTTCCTCATTTTTTAGATTAAAATAAATAAATAGAGCCTCTAGTATTTTCCTGTTCTCCAATGGATCATCTTATGCAACTCCCTGGGGTGCTTGATCCCATTTTGGAAACCTCACTCTACAATATATACATAGAAATAGAATCGCTGGATCTTAAAATTTGTACATCCTCAAATTAACCAAATATTTCAAAATTGCTTTCCAAAGTGTTTGCCAATTTATACTTGCATCAAAAGTATATGAGGTTTTCTGTTGCTCCACTTTCTTCACAATACTTGGGATTAAGAGATTATAATTTTTAACAATCTAGTGGGGAAAACAGAGTAATTGTCTTAACTTGCATTTCCCTAATTTTGAGTAACACTGAGCAGTTTCAAGCATTATTAGAGCTTCTTCCATGAATAGCTTGTTGATATCCTTTGTCCATTTTGCTAATGGGGTCTTTTTTAATAATTTGTAGGATATATATATAAAGTGCTAATTTGTAAGTATTATGATAAAGAATGAGAATACAATTCTTTATTCTAATACTTAAAACATACCTTATTTTATTGCACTTCATTTAATTGTACTCTGCAGAGAGATTGCATGTTTTACAGATTGAAGGTTTATGGTAACCCTGCCTAAAGAAAGTCTTTCGGCACCCCATTTTTCCAACAGCATTTGTTCACTTCACTTATCTATGTCACAATTTGGTAATTCTCATAATATTTCAAACTTTTTCATTATAATTATATGTAATGGTGATCTGTGATCAATGATTACAGTCAGTGATTACTACTGAAAGGTCAGATTATGGTCAGCATTTTTAGCAATAAATTATTTTTTAATTAAGGTATGTATGTACAGTACATTGATTTTTTAGACATAATGCTGTTGCACACATTACAAAGAGTATAGTGTAAACATGACTTACATGCACTGGAAAACCAAAAAATGCATTTCACTCACTTTATTTCTAATATTCACTTTATTGAAGTGGACTGAAACCAAACCAGCAATATCTCCAAGGTATACCTGTAGCTATATAAAGCATAAATATGTTCTCTCGGTACACTTGACTTTTAACTTTGTGTATAGTATCTTTCCTAGGGCACAAGTCTCTAACTTTCATGTAGGCAAATGTATCCATTTTGTCCTTTATGGTTTATGCTTTCTGTGCCTTAAGAACGTCTTCCTTTCCCCCGTTATAAAGATACTCTTATATTGTCCCCTTTGTCTCCTACTAGTTTTAAATTCTGCTTCCAAAACATGGATCTTTAAGACATCTGGAATTTTTTTTTGCATATATTATGAGGTAGGAATCAACTTTTATTTTCTGTGTAAAAAAACAATGGCCTGAACACCTTTTATTGAATAGTTCAGCTTTTCCCATGTGGTTTGCAATGGCAACCCTATCACACCATATGTCTTCATATGTGAACAGCTTATATTCTTTTGATTTTTTTTTATATTCGAATCTACTACTCTTATATCCTTAAACCAGTGCTATTCCATTTTAGTACCTGTGGTTTTATAAAAAGTCTTACTATCTTGTAGGGCAAGATACTTTATACTTTTTGAAAGTTGTGTTGGCAAGGCTTGCTTCTTTGTCTTTCAGTGAATTTTAGCATGTACGTCTCAAGTCCCTCACACACACAAATGTTAGGATTTTAGTTGGAATTACATTAATATGAAGAGAACTGATACCCTTAAAGTATTGTTTTCCCATCTCTGAACATCTTATGTCTCATTTTCTAGGTCTCAATCTTTACTCAGTAGAGTTTTATAATTTTTCCCATAGTGGTCATATATAACTTTTACAAAATTCACTCCTTGATATCATACCATTTTTAATTGTTATTGAAAATAATATTTTTTTATCTGTACTTTCAAAAACAATTTTGGTTAATAGGAACACAACCAATTTTTTCATACTGATTTTGTATCCCAAATCTGAACTTTATTGGTAATATTGTTTGTCTATGAGTATTTTTTGTGTTTTTTACATAGAAATTCTATAATATATAAATAATGGCTGGATATTTTTTCTTGATAGACATATAGATATATAGACAGAATTTTTTTTGCTTGTCTTACTACATTGGCTATGACCTCCAGTCAAATACTGAATGTAAATGCTGATATCTGAAGTCCTTGTGTTCCTGATCAAAACTGAGTATTTCTAATGCTTCCAAATTAAGTGCTAAATTTACCTTCGGATTTTTATTAATAAATGCCTTTTAACATAAAAGTTATAAAAATTTCCTTTCTGTTGGGGATCAACAGAGGTGAGGCTCAGAACCTCACCCCCCACCCCCTGTTTTGAGAGAAATCTTCTGCATCCGTGGATGTTTTGTTGCCCTTGTCTAGCTTGGATTAATACTTAGTCTATAGACACACACCTGATCATCTACATTTGCCCTCTTATAGCACTAAACTATGTTTTCTACCTTTATCTTGCATCTACCTACCACTTCAGCATTTTATTAATAATAATAATAATAATAAGGGAGAAATGTGGGATTCACATATA